GAGATGGGGAGATTATCCTGGGTGATCTGAGTGGGCCCTAAATGCAATCACATGTAATTTTATAAGAGGGAGGGAGAGGGAGATTTGACATGGACAGAAGTAGAGAAGACATGGACAGAAAGGGAGGCCACGTGGCTGTGGAGACAGATTGCAGTGACACAACCACAAGCCAAGGAATGTTGGCAGCCAGCAAGAGCTGGAAGAGGCAAGAAATAGATTCTTCCCTAGAATCTCCAGAAGCAGCCAGCCATGCTGACACCTTGATGTCAGCCCAGTAATAGTGATTTTGGACTTCTTGCCTCCAGAACTGTAAGAGAATACATTTCTGTATTAATGTAGATAATACAGATGTACATAATATTGTTATGAACCAAACTGCATCCCCCCAAGATTCATATGTTGAAGCTCTAACCCCCAATGTGATTATATTTGGAGACAGAGGCTTTAAAGAAGTAATTAAGGTTAAATTCAGTCATAAGGGTGTGGCCCTAATCTAATAGAATGGCGTCCTTATAAGAAGAGGAAGAGACACCAGAGACTGCTGTGTCTCTGCACAGGCACAGAAGAAGGGCCATGTGAGGATACAGCGAGAAGGGGGTCGTCTGCCAGCCAGGAAGAGGGGCCTCACCAAAAACCAACCCTGCTGGTACCTTAATCTTGAATGTCCAGCCTCCAGAACCCTGAGAAAATAAATCTCTGCTGTTTAAGCCACACAGTCTTGGTCTTCTGTTACGACAGCCTAAACTGACTAATGCAAATATGCTTTTTACTCTGCCTGTATCAGAAAGCCATCTTTGCATTATTATGTGACTAATTGCTTACGTTTTCCTCTGTAATTTGAGTTTGTGCTCAAAGTTATACAACATAAGAAGAAAAAGACTGGACTGTAGAAAACTATAAGTATTTCCCATGAGCCCGCCATACTTTGGAAATCGTCACGGCCACCCCTAGGATGACTGGAGTGGGTACTCTTCTTGCCACTCTCACTTACCTGTCTTTTCCTCACATGTGCACTACTTTCACTTAAAAAGAGAGCTGTATAGGGGCCAGCCCGGTGGCATAGTGGCTAAGTTCTCACGCTCCACTTTGGTGGTCGGAGATTCACGGGTTTGGATCCGGATGTGGACCTACACACCACACGTCAAACCATGCTGTGATGATGTCCCTACAAAATAGAGGATGACTGGCACACATGTTAGCTTAGGGACAATCTTCCTCACAAAAAAAAAAAGAGAGAGAGCTGTGTAAAAGACAAATGCATGGGGAAAACTGGAGTAAAACTCTTGAATATCATTTAATTTCAAATCAAACCAACAAACGTTTATTGCGGAATTAGCAAATTCCAGGCTTCCCAGTAGCTACTAATGATGGAGAGGGGAAAATACAGACGGGTCTCCTGATCGTACAGAACTTAAAGTCTATCTATATTGATAAGGTCAGGAAGACAAAAAATAAACAGGTAGTTACAAGGCGTTGAGGGTGTCGGGAGAGGGAGGATCAGAGTGCTGTGGGAACATACAGGAAGGAATTTAACTTGGGAGACCAGGGAAGACCTGAAGGATGAGTGAGAGCAGGTGAGAATTGTAGGTGCGGAGCACAGAAGGAGAGCAGTCCAGGGTTAGCTTGTGTAAAGGCTTGGGAGAGTTGGGAGAGTTTCAGAGATTTAAGGAAATGAAGAAAATCCACCTTGCCTGGAATTTAAAAAACAAGAAGGAAAGTGGAATCAGATCTCAGAGGACATTGTAAACTAGGTGAGGGGGGTTGGTCTTCATTTTAGCTTACAGGAGACCCACAGAAAGACAAACGAGAAGGGCCTGATCAGATTTGCATTTTAAAAGGATCATTCTGACTTAGCCTGGAGAAGGAGCTGGAAGGAAGCTAGAAGGAATGCGGGAAAGGAAGCTAGGAAACAAGAAGTGCAAACAAGGGAGAATGGTGATCCTGAATGCATTAGTGGCTGTGGGGATGGATAGAAGGGGACAGACTGAAGAGATTTTAAGGGAATGCATAGACAAGACTTGGTAATTAATTACATATGAGAGGAGCGGGGAAGAAAGAGTCAAGCTGACTCCCACGTTGCTGGTCATCGTATTTTGTTATTTACTGAAAGGAGGAAATACTGGTGAAGATTTGAGGTGAAAGAAGAGCTCATTTGAATTTGAGATGTCTCTGAGATACCCAAGCCAAGATGTGTGTTTTCTAATTGTAAAAGTAATATATAGTGTATTATTTGGAAAGTGGAGAATAAGGAAAAGAAAGCAAACACTATCTTTAACCCCACTACTCAGAGACAGCTATAGTTAATATATGGTGTGGTCTTTTCTCTAAAACTGTACACACACACACATCTAATATTAAGCTATCAATTGTTTTGTAATCTGTTTTCCCTTTAACAACGAATCATGGTCATTTTTACAGATGATCATTCTTCTACAACATTATTTTCAATGGCTGCATAGGATTTCATTATACAAGTTCGCTAAACTGATTTAACCAATCCCCTATTCCTATCAAAAATATATTATGAGAGGGCTTTTAGGGCAGTGAAACTATTCTGTATGATACACATCATTATACATTTTTCAAAACCCATAGAATGTACAACACCAAGAGTGGACCCTAACATAAACTACGGACTTTAGGTGATAATGATGTATGAATGCAGGTTCTTCAATTGTAACAAACGTACCACTCTGGCGCAAGATGTTGATAGTGGGGGAGGCTGTGTATATGCAGGGGTAGGAGGCATATGGGAAATCTCTGTACCTTCCACTCAATTTTGCTGTGAACCTAAAGCTGCTCTAAAAAATGAAATCTAATATATTATGATGAGCATCCTTCTGTATAAAACTGTCTGCACATTTCTAACTATTTCCTTAAGATAAATTCCAGTAAGTGGAATGGTCTGGTCAAAGGGTATGCTCATTTAACAACTTGTTTGTTTTACTAAATTGCCTTCCAGTAAGTGTTGATAACTTACACTCCCACCAAGAGAGCACACTTGCATGGATTTTTGATCCCTGACTCAACAGTGCCCATATTGTATTTCACTCACATCTCCGTTTACCCCATCCTCAAAATAGAGCTGTAAAAACATTATTGAACATTTCTGTCAACATCCCTATTCTCTTAACCACAATATAATACCAGGCTCACTCTGTCTTTTCATTACAAACTAGCTGCATCACTGAGAAAATATATGCCATGCTAATTTGTCTTCATTTAAAATTTCAAAGAAATTCCCACATGGATCCCAGATGTTGACCATTTAATGCAAGAAGGTGTTTCCTCATTATACAAATATGGTATGTGTCCAAAATATTGGCATTGTTTAGTTTATGAATCACTTAAAATAACTACATCACAAAAAACAATGGTTCATGTGTGAGTCATAAATTAAACAATGCCAATTTTTTGATGTGCACATTTGTATAATAAGGAAACACCTTCTTGGATTAAATGGTCAACATCTGGAATCCATGTGAGGGCTTTAAAAAATTAGTCCTGCATTTTCTTAAATTTTCCCAGTGTGGAAAGAAACTCAAAGTGGAGGACATTTTTACAAAAATTTCCCTGCCCCAAATATTCTTGCAAGTAGTACATTTCTTGGTTGGTACAAAAGCTTAAGTCAAAGCAATATAAACCAAATTCCATTACAAGAAAATGCCAACGGAGTCTAAATCTTTTGTTTGTTCTAGATCTTTTGCTATGATATTGTAAAATACAGTTGTAATAGGTTGAATAGTGATTTCCAAAAAGATATGTCCATGTCCTAACTCCTTGAACCTATTAACGTGACCTTATTTGAAACAAGGGCCTTTGTAAATGTAATTTAATTAAGGATTTGAGATGTGATCATTCTGGACTTAGAGTCGGCTCTAAATCCAATGACAGGCGTCCTTATAAGAGAAAGGCAGAGGGAATTTGTGACAGAGAAACACAGGATAGAAGATCACATGAAGTCAGAGGTAGAGATGGGAGTCACACAGCCCAAGCCAAAGAATGCCTAGAACCACCAGAAGCTGGAAGAGGCAGCTTCCTAAAATCTTCAGAGGCACCATGGCCCCGCTGACATCTTGACTTTGGATTTTTAGCCTCCGCAACTCTGAGAGAATAAATTTCTGTGGTTTTAAGCCACACAGTTGGTGGTAATCTTTTATGGCCACCCTAGGAAGCTACAATGGAAATTCATAGTAATAGAATTAGATATACATTATGAATGAATCATATCAATGTATTTTATACAAACTTGACATACCTGATTTTTTGGCTTTCAATTAGCATCAAGCACTTCATGGTTCTTCTTTGGGTTTAAATAACATTAAATGCTTCCTTTTAACCTTGGAATGTTCTGATCTCAAAAGTTTCTCCCCATAATTTCTGTTGTTCAAGCAACTTTGGGAGAACACCCATAGTGTTGTGAGAGCCGGGGGATTCTAGACTAAGTAGGCAAAGCTTATCATCTCTGCCTTCAAAATGGTGATAGATGCCAGATACCCATTAGCTTGCTTGACGTCTGCCCACATTGTGGACAATAATACATACTTAAGAAAGTTAAATAATGCATCAATGTGACTGCAAAGCACAATTAAGCAGAGAGAGAGTATTACCCTATGTAAGCATGTTTGCTGCTGGCTATATACTGAAATCCAGACATGTACACTCCCTTGGATTTTGAATGGATGGGATATGTTTTGAAAAACTTCATGGTGGCTTTCTGGAAGAGGCATCCCATTTGGAATGTTTGATACTCTTTGATATTCAACACCACTGAAAGTATAAGCTCAAACTTCTTCAATTTTCATTCTACGTCTTACGTTTGCTGAGCTTTCATTTAGTTAAAAGAAATCAGAAGCATGAGATTGTTTTCCTTAAGTATGTTTTATGGCACAGGAGCCCATGATCATTCTTTTCATGACCTGCTATCTCCAGGCCCCATCCCCATCGTCCACCTCAAGAAGTGATGGAGTCACAATGGAATATTACACAGCCGCCATAAATAGTTTCAAAGAATTTTTAATGGCATGGGAAAACGTTTTCTGTATAAAGTTGAGTAAAAAAAAAACAGGATAAACTGGGTGTACACTATGATCCAAATTCGTTCAGACATACACACATTTACATATACGTACATTCAAAAGTGAAAATTTTTCACAAAAGAGCTAAATTGGCTATCTCCAGATTACACATGAATTTTTTCTTGTTAGCTATATTTTCAAGTGTGTTGCTTTATAATGAGCACGTATAACTTTTATAGCCAAAAATAATAATGAAATGGAACCCAACTAATAGCTGGAAGCTAAGAACGATTTTTGTGGGGCTAGCACTACGTCCCTAAGGTAGTTGTTTATTTCAGAAATGGTTTGTAAAGCACATAAATTAATTCAGCAAAAATCTCCCTATATATTCAAGAATACTCATCACTCCAATTACCCCCTACTTGTGTTATTTGCTTTTTCTTCACTCTTCCTACCTATGACGTGTATTGGTTGATCCGAGGCTGAGAAAGTAGAAAGAAAAAAGTAGAAGGTAGAAAGTTAGGGAATTCTTCCCTTGGACTCCTTCTGCCTCTTCTTGGGACCAACGTGGCCTGAAGAGAGGAGAGATAACATAGAAAACCAGCAATACCAAGCAGCTTGTATTTTTCTGAATAGTGGGGCACTTAATAAGCCCACCAGTACCATCACCACCCCTGCTGCAAATGGAGAAATGAGGTTTCTGGAGGATGTCAGGCGATTATTTTTTGCCCCAAATTTACTGGATCCAGGCCCCAGCAGCATGGAATATTTCAAAAGCTGTTTGCCAAGAAGGGTAGATTGCTTGAGGGCCAGGACCACGCTGTGCCTCATATTTGTTTACACAGAGCCTACGACAGTGCCTCACACATAGTGCCCAACGAGTGTTGAAATCCAGAGAGAAAAAACATTTTTGTGGATTTCAGATGCCTGTAGAGGCAGTGCCTAACAAGCTTATGAACACGATGGAATGAGCTTTGTTGCATTCAAGGCCAGCAGAGCTTGATTAAATCATTGGTCATCAAGGGATGGGCCGTGGAAAACGTCGGGGAGTAGTACGTAGCTTTTAAAAGGATGCATCAGAATGGGGAGTGAAGGGGGCCAGAAAGGACATGTGTGGTTTGGAGAAGCGTATTTAATTACGAGTTTATATTTGAAAAGTGAAAAAAGTATGTGTATATGATTCTCAGAGAGTGGAGTGGGGGGTGTGGATGTTGAAGAGGATGTATGAAGTATCTGTCCAAATCTGAGCATGTACCCAAAACTGGCTGGAAAGTATGGCGTGTTCATGTGTATGGATTTTTAAAGTTTGAGAACCACTGGACTAAATAATTGAGTTCCCCATTCAAACCAACTCATTAGTAAGAAAACACAGTTGCTTTTAAACCTCAATGACCGTGGCCTTCACTGTCTCCAGATCCAGTGATCATTCCTAACTTGCTAACATACTTCCAACCCTCTATGTTTAGCTTTATAAAATATTTATCTTTATAAAAGCTAGAGGATGAAAAAAAAAAGCTAGAGGATTGTGCTCACCGATTTTTCTTCTCATCCACTTAAGCTCCATTTGACAATTTCTTTTAAAAATTTTTAAAGACTTTTGCCTCCAGGCTTCTATGGTGCTGGTGCTTCCTAGAGCAGGATTTGAAAAGAAGATGACAAATATACTATTATGTGATCACATGGAGAAAAGAAGTCTGCATCTAGACAGAGGAAAATGCATGGATAAGGACACTGCAGGTGGAGGGAGGGTCAGCAGAGCACAAATTCAGAGAGAAGGGAGACCCCTGTCAATGAAAACATGGAGCTCAGCAGTTCTCTCCGATGATTCAGGTAAGTGAAGGCACATCATGCATATGTGTGTGTGTTTCCTACCCCTAATAATTCATCCAAAGAGTCCTGTTCCTAAGCCTTAAGGCATTCGAAAGAGGAAACCAACTAAAAGATTCATTTCTATAGTCTAGCATCAGGCTAATCGTACAGACAGAAGCCTCTGTTGGGTCTCAGAGCTCAGGGTGAAACCCATGCAAAGATCATCTAAGCGCCAATCAGCCCACTTCTAAAACCTGGGTAATCAGATGGCCATGACACAGATTTTTCTCATTTGATTTTCCAGTTATTCTCAAGAAACATTGGCTATAGATAAGTACTTTATGATTTTTAACAGAGTGATAAAAAAATACAATTCCATTTCACACTGAATCACTCCTATGGGACTATTCTCTATAGAGGCTTCAGGGTTGAAGGTTTTTGCAATTCTTTACTTTCCCTAAACTTCTAAATTAATAGAGAAGAGAATGCGGAAGCGAAAACCATTCCCCAAGTAAGAGATTGTAAAGTACAACGTGCTTCTGAATTTCTTTAAAAATAAATCTCACTGCAATCCCCAAAATGTACGTTTTACAAGGTATCCCATAGCTGGGTGAACACATTCCCCAGGGGTATGCACCCCTGCATGGTGGGTAAGATTTCAAGATTTGAAACTTGAGTGCCAGGGTCCAAATCCCATTTACTGACCTCATGACCTTGGACAATCACCCTAACCATTCTGCCTCAGGTCCCTTGTCTGGGTAAGAGAAATCCTAGGGAGTAAGTGAGTTCATCCACCCTAAAGGTCTGAGACAGTCTCCAGCACATAGAAAGAACCCAATAAATGTAAATGAGGTTAACATATACAAAGAAAAGAAACCATACTCTAAATCATTTTAAGACAAGTTTTAAAATTTAAATTGTTGTCAGCAGATCCCTGCCTCTATTTCCCGCAAACAGGCACTGAGACAAGCTTCTTCTGAGATAACTTTTTAGTAAAAGATCTCGTGATAAAGACACAGGCTGGCAAACACCAACGCAAATTCCATTCATACAAAATAATTTCCTGATGCTGATTCAAACCATTATCTTCTGAAATATCACTTTTTCTAAACCCTAAACCTTCAAAGTCTATAGCTAAGAATGTAAGCAAATTAGAAGCCACTCTTTACATAGCTTTCTAACAAAATTCCACATCATGAACTTCTAATAATGTTTCTTGTCCGCAGATTAATAATAACCTAGTTCAAAACCACATCATTTCCTTTTTCTGCCTCATTTCCTTCAAAGTGAAACAGAATTTTTTCTTGGACCTGGAATAAAAATTTCTAGATTAACTAAGCAAATCGTTACCAGAAATGCAATTTTATAATAACACTATTTCAGGATACTCAAAAACATAAAACATCTGTGTAGTGTTTGTTAATACTATAACCTAATATATATAGTGTATACCATCTAAGTGGAAAATTGAGTCTATAACTAGAAGTGCGAACAGAAATCACTAGAGATTCCATCAGTATTTGTGTTTTGAAGGCCAGTTGGAAGCATTTTAAGAAATGTGACACTTCTTTAAGTCTTGGCCGGAGGTCACAAAGCACTTGACACAGATGTATTGTTTGGCCAACATAGTATTTTAAAATTATTAAACTCAATTATCTTTAGGTGGGCCATGTCCTCTACTTACGTGACAGGCCCTTAAAGGCATTTCATTTTGCAACCCCTGGTTAAGGCCCACCCTTACAGAGAAGAGATCAAAAGAGATCATTAGTTAAATGGGTACCTCTCTCACTGATGGCCTGATAAAGTCCAGAGACTTGGAAATTAAGCATACTAATAATTACATTGAGAAATTCTTGGGCCAGCCTTGTGGCCGAGGGGTTAGGTTCGCACGCTCCACGTCTGTGGCCCAGGGTTTCGAGGGTTCGGATCCTGGGCGTGGCCATGGCACTGCTCATCAGGCCATGCTGAGGTGGCGTCCCACATAGCACAACCAGAGGGACCTACAACTAGAATGTACAACTATGTACTGGGGAGGTTTGGGGAAAATAAGGAAAAAAAAAGATTCGCAACAGATGTTAGCACAGGTGCCAATCTTTTTAAAAAAAAGAAAAGAAATTCTTCTAGTTTGCTTCTTGGATTAATTTTAAAGATGTATTTTCAGCATATGTATCTAGCAGTGGCTCATTTGGTTAGTATTACTGAGCTAAGTTGTTAAAATTCATTTACAGCTGGATGCTGAAAGAAACCAGAAAATAGAGAATTTTTAAAAACATGTTCTTGTGGCATGAAAATTTGGACTAAAGTCTAAATTTTACATTATTTTCAAAAAATTAATACCATTCAGTCAACAGTTGGTTTTTCTTCACACAAAAGGAAATGAATTTGCTCAATGCAATATTTAAAGAGGAACTGGTTTCTACTATTTTAATGAATATATATATACACACACAGAAACATATGCATATATACACACACTCAGGGCACGGACTGAGTCAACTATTACTCTCATTCTTTTCAGTTCCATCGTACTTTCTGGGGGATTCTATTCCACTTACAAATTAAGTCTGAGTCTAGGACCCAAATAAGAGAACACTGGACAGGGTTTCCTAACGCATTAGTTCACGCATCACTCCAAAGGTGTTAGGTTTTAGGCACTGATGAGGCACAAGCTAGCTGGCTTCAAAGTCTAAGTGTTACTAGTTCAGTGTTCTGTTAAATTAACATGGAGGAATGCTTCCATTCAGCAGGCCCCAGGAAGTACAGCCTTGTCTCCAGCTTCTTCTTCAGAACACAAATAGAAGGCAGCTTCCAGTGAATTTGCTTCTGGGGCCAGTGCCCTTGAACTCTCTTGGATTAGTCTTTCTGAAGGTTCTGGCGAATTCTCCCTCCATCTTGGACTCGAGTGCTGTTGGGAGACTTCCCAGAGTGAAGGACACGGAGACGGGAAACCCAGAGCAGATCTCGAGAGGGGATCCTCTTGGAGGCCTACTTCTTGGATACACCTGTTGGAAAGCACTTCCTTTTCTTTGGAATTCCGCCATTTCATCCTTCTGTTCTGAAACCAGATTTTCACCTATTGATAAAACAATTGGACAAAATGATCGCTTATTCCTTGTTACTTCACTTCGGCATTTTAACCTGTAATTTCTCCTACTCTGCCTTCAACAGAATATCTTATTATGAGAGCCAGCCTGGCAAAGTCCTTGTGGCTTTTCACACGGGCTCCTTCAAAAATATCTGGGAAATTACTTTAGTGTAATAGCCCCCCACACACTTATGAAACAAAATGACTGTGGTAAATTGGTTACATCCTGTAAGTCTGACATCATTCAAGACTGATTTAACTCTCTTTGATATTTTAAAACATCATTTAGTATGCGCTAAATTATTTATTCAAAGGAAATGCTATTGACTAGGAATAGATGTGAGTGTTTATTTTGTGCCAGGTGTCAGGCCATGCACTCTGCGTGGATTATATAATTGGATTCTCACAATGCCTGCAAGAAGTCCTCATTTCACATGTAAGAAAACTGAGGGTCAGAGCAATGAACCAGTTCCAGGTCACACGGCTAGCAAAACGGAAGAGCTTAGACTAGAATCCCTGACTGTCCCACTCCAGTGTCCAGGCTCTTATATAAACACTGACCTCATCAGGAACTTGTGGACACTAAATTAAGAATACATTTTATAATGCTTTGATAAATTGCAGGCTTTATACTGTTTCCAGGTTTGATGACTCCCAGGATTTATCAAACTCAACAAATTAGGCTCAATAAATAACAACTGATTGTAATTAATCCCAGAGTGCTTATGTTGGTGATTTTTAATTTGAGCCATCCCATCCGCCTCACCCCACCTGAGTATCTCTACTATTAACCTCTCTCTTTATCTACTATGTAGTCCATGGTGCCTCAGCAGAAAACTTCACAGGTGGTTTCCTGGTATCTTCAAAGCCAACCACATTGTTTTCCTGTGCGTTACATTGCATCCTTACAGGAACAATTTAGATTTCTATTTTTAAAACAAAACCAGGAAAATTTTTACCTAAAGAAATAATTATTAAAGTGTATCAACCAAATATTTCTCTCAATAAAGGAAAAACTTCTACCTGAGATGGTCTTTCCAGATGGGCAAAATAATTTCTTCCTTCTTTCAACTTGATTGGCAATGTTCAAAATGGCTACAAAAGATTATCTACCCCAGGTAATTGAGTGAAAAGACTGCCATCTCAGTTACAATCCTGTGATTAACGCTTTTCACAAGAAAACACTCCTACCGTGTAGGTACCAGAGCATTTGGCTCTATGCATGAACTCATTTATTCTTTGCAGTGGGCATTTACTTCTAGAAACCCTGTCAAGTATTTCTAATGGGTTTTCACTAAGACAGTTATTTGTTCCCATTGGTGATTCCTTCTCATCACATTCATTATTTTCTTCTTCCCTTAGCTTTTCTATATATCTAGAAATTTTTTTGAGTGATATCTCAATTAAAAAAATCCCAAAAGCGGCCGGCCCCATGGCATAGTAGTTAAGTCTGGTGTGCTCTGCTTCAGCGGCCCGAGTTTGCAGGTTTGGATCCTAGGCGTAGACCTACACCACTTATTGGCCATGCCAATGGGTTGGTGGCAACCCATGTATAAAGTAGAGGAGGACTGGCACAGATGTTAGCTCAGGGCTAATCTTCTTCAGCAAAAAAAATATCATGAATGAAGTTTTTTCACAATCAGTGGTATTGAGACAAATGTATATATTTGGGTAAAATCATAAAATAAACGTTCTACCACTCAACACATACAAAAACAAATTTCAGATGGATTAAATGGCTAAACATAAAAACAAAACTATAAAAGTTCCAGAAGAAAATATGATATCATCATTATAGTCTTGGGGAGAGGAATGTTTTCTTAAGCATGACATAAACCACCGAAGCCACAAAGGAAAAGACAGACAGAGCTGATTACAGAAAAATGAGAAATTTCTGTACAAATAAAAACATCATAAACATATGAAAAAGCCAAAAACTACCCAAAAGAATTAAAAGCAGAGACCCAAAGAGTTACTTGTACACCCATGTTCATAGTAGTATTATTCACAAAAGCCAGAAAGTGGAAGTAACCCAAGTGTCCATTGATAGATGAATGCATAAAGAAATGTGGTACAGACATACAGCAGACTATTATTCAGCCCTAAAAAATAAGGAAATTCTGACACATGATACAACATGGATGAAACTTGAAGACATTGTGCTAAGTGAAATAAGCCAGTCACAAAAAGACAAATATAGTATAATTCCACTCATATGAGGTACCTAGAGTAATCAAATTTATAGAGACAGAAAGTAGAATGGCAACTGCCAGGGGCTTGCGGCAGGGAAGAATGGGAAATCATTGTTTAAGGATGCAGAATTTCAGTTTTGCAAGATGAAAAAAGTTCTGGAGATGGATGGTGGTGATGGTTGTACAACAATGTGAATGTGTTTGATGCCACTGAATTGTACACTTAAAAAAGGTTAAATGGGGGGCCAGTCTGGTGGCATAGTGGGTGGGTTCACTCACTCTGCTTCAGCAGCCCAGGGTTCGAAGATTGGGATCCTGGGCACAGACCTACACACGTCCATGTTGGAGTGGCATCCCCCATACAGAATAGAGGAAGATTGGCACAAATGTTAGCTCAGGCCCAATCTTCCTCACCAAAAGAAAAAAGTTTAAATGGTAAATTTTATCTTATGTATATTTTACCACACACACACACAAAAAAAAGCCACAAATTTGGAGAGGATTTTTCAACAGCTGTGACAAGAAAATGTTTAACCATAACATTTCAAATATTTTGATTAACAGCCAAAATAATTGCTACATATCAACAAAAAGATAATATGATAGAAAAAAATGGTGCAGCCATGAAAAGGCCAATTCACAGATTAAAAATGGCCAGTAAAATGTTTAAAAGACCCTCAAGTTATGGTAATTTGGAAAATTCAAATTAAAAGTCAACAAATACAATTGCCAATAAGGTTGCCAACATTTTAGAAGTTATCAATAATGGAGGATTTTCAAAAAGGGACTGTTTATTAGTAAGCATGAAAATTTTATATAGTTTAGTATCATGATACAATATCCTATTTGGAAAGGAATTTTTTAATCTATCACAATTTAAAATGTACATAAACTTTAACACATAAATCCCACTCCTAGGTCCCTTTCATACACGAATATTTGCAGTGCATAAAGGTATGCAATAGTGAAAATTGGAAGTAACTTAAAGTTGAGGATGGCTAAATGAACTATGATATAGCCACATAATAATCTGTTATGAGACATTTACTAAAAAAGAATGAAGCAAATCTCTATGTACTGACATGGAAGCATGCATCCCATGACATCTGAATGAGGGGGGGAAGCAAAGTGCAAAACCATGTGCATTGTCAGCAGCTTTATACATAACAGCCAAAAACTGGGAACCATCCAAATGCTCCCCATTACAATGAATAAAGTGTGGTATGCCGTATAATGGACACCACACAGCAATGAGTACGAATGAGCTACAGCTACACGCAACAACAGGAAGGACTCTCATAGACGTAAGGTCAAGTACAAGAAGCCACATACAAAAGCATATGTACTGATTGATTCTATTTATACCAAGTATAAAAACAGGAAAACTAATCGAAGTCAGGAGAGTGGATACCCTTGGAAGGAGCGGGTAGTGACTGGGAGGGGATATGCAGGGGGCTGCTGGCCCGGTGGTGATGTTCTTCTGCTTGATCTGTGTGCTGGTTACACAGGTGATTTGTATTGTCTTTTAGAAGAAGTCAAAATATATGCAGAGTATGATCCCATTTTTACTTAAAAATATATATACACAATTCTAGGTCTCAGCTTCTTCATTTGTAAAATAGGGGTCATAAAAGTGACCACCTCATGGGGTCATTGTAAGGATAAATGACACCAAATGCAAGGGCACATGGTAGTCATTATGCAAGTGTTTGTGTGGTTATATGTTTGTGCATATACAACACAAAGATAAATTTATTTTAAAAATACAGTCATGCACTGCACAGTGACATCTCGGTCAACGACGGACCACACACACGATGGTGGTCCTGTAAGATCAGTACCATACAGTGTGGGTGTGCAGTAGGCTATACCATCTAGGTTTGTGTGAGTACACTCTGTGATGTTTGTACAATGATGAAATTGCCTAATGACATATTTCTCTGAATGTATCCCTGTCATTAAGCGACACACAACTAGAACATGATATAAATATCATACCATGATATGTCAATAAATTCAAACAAGAACCATTTACAAATGACAGTAGTAACCAAGGAATTGGATTGGAAGAGTAGATGAGTTTTTATTTTTAACTTTACCAATTTCCCTTTTGTTTCAATTTACTGTAATAAATACCATGTATTAGTTGTGTAATTAGATATATATACAAATAAGAAAATGTTAAATGGCTTCTGAGATGTTCATAAAATTCAGTAAGATAAAGATCATTCTTGAGGCACTTGAATTTTAAAAACAATATAATCAACTCTGTAAAACTATGCACCTGTGGATAAGAAGTGGAAGAAGATATACAAATAGGAAACAGTTTGTTTTCTTGGAGTGGAGAGATTATGGTCATCCCTTCATAAACATTCTTTTTTTTTTTTTTTTTGAGGAAGATTGGCCCTGAGCTAACATCTACTGCCAATCCTCCTCTTTTTGCTGAGGAAGACTGGCCCTGAGCAAACATCCATGCCCATCATCCTCTACTTTATATTTGGGATGCCTGCCACAGCATGGCTTGACAAGTGGTGCCACGTCCAAAGCGGAACGTGCACACTTAACCGCTGCGCCACTGGGCCAACCCCCCTCATAAATATTCTTTAATACGCTTACTGAAGTCTCTTTTTGACAGTCTATTTTTAAGAAGACCATATGTACTATAGGAGATTTTCACACTTTCTCAGAGCACTGTCAGATCAAACCTGGCCACTTTTCATCTTTTAACACCTACTTCAAGTTCCAACACAAGCAGAGGGCCCCCAACCTCCCAAACCTGCACATTTTATCCCCTCTGACTCTGGAGCCTCCCATCCATACCAATGAGATGCAGCCCAGGCCTACCAAGCCCCCATTTGGTCCTCACTCAGGCCCACCAACTCCTCTGAGGATCAGACAGTCCTGTCACTAGACTTCCCAGGGGTATGTGGACCAGTCAGCCCTACGACTGTCCTTTCCGGAGATGGGGGGGATTAACGTAAGGCTCCAGAGAGAGACATAACTTTGAGGACCACTGATCTAGCTCCTTTATTTGGCAGTGTATCTAATCTACAAGCTATACTGCCTATACCAGGCAGTATATCCAACCTGTATTATTGTCCTGTATTGTTCTCTAACTGTTCATGAGCTTCTGCTTTGGTTTTCCCAGTTGCAAGGAATATATTTTGATCAGTATTTATCAATATTCCCTCTTACTGCCCACCTATCACAGCATCTTGCACACAACAGACCATCAAGATACAGCTACTGATTTATCTGTCATATATACAAAATCGCTCTGTGACATAGATCGAATTCCTGTATTTGTCCCTGTTTTTTAATTGGGAAACTGAGGCACAGGGCAGTCAGGTAAGGTTATGGAACCATTAGTACCACACAACATGGAAAGCACAGACTGGCTGAGCTGGGCCAATTACCCTCTACCACACCACATACTCTTTCCTATGACCAGAGAAAGTTGTGGTGGGGAGGAACACAGATCGCTTCCCTAGCTAGGGAAAGGAAGCAAGGTTATAAGATTTTCATCCAAAAATAACCGGTTTAATAAAATCCAAACTTAGAAACCAGATCATTTGTATTGAGGGAAGAACAATAGAGCATGTGGTTAACACAGGGCCTCTGCTAGCCCTTCAACGGTTTCATGTTAATTCAAAAAATCCAGGTGGCTGTAGCTCTGCACCAGGAAAGCCAGCTTAGTAAGCAGAGTACCTATTGCATTTCAGTTGCTGCCATCTCCCTCAGCCAAGTGCCCTTGTGCAGTGAACAACCTGCATAACAGGACATGGTGGCTCTAGGTCACGGAGAATGCAAACTCCAGAGTCAGGTTGCCTAGGGTGGGAGCCCAGCTCCAAAGCAGCTTCATTATGTGACACGGGATCTATGTTTACTTCTCTACATTTCCTCATCTGGAAAATGGGGATGCTTATTTCATATGGTGATTATAAGAAGGATTAAACAGGAAAATGCTAGTGCCTTATACCATTAATTATTTATAATAAGCAGGCCAATCTCTACCTGGAGTATTCTACACTTCCCAAAAGGCCAGAAAGTCTCATTCAAAACTATATGAAACTTCAGTATACAAGAAAGATTTGTAAGTTTTTCAAATGTGAAATTACTTAACTGTAATTCACATAAGCCCAAAGTGCAAAATAATGAAATCCATTTAGAGGTGTTTATGAGTCGCTCTTTCATACCTTGATTTTGGATTGAAACGAACAAAAAGACAGGAAAACTGGTTCCTGCTTTTGTAGGGAATTATGTGGCCTGCTTTTCTGAAAACAGAGCAAACAACTTAATGATGTAAATGCACCTCCTTTGCATTTCTCTTCCTTCGGGAAGAATCAATCAGGGAAAAACCTAGATCTCTCAGCAAATGAACCTATTTCCAGATAGGAATTGTGACATATATTTCCACCAACCAAAAAATTAGGAAATTATTTCAATAATGCTTCAGAGTCCAGGACATGCCTCGTAAAGCAAATATCTGCCAAAGGAATGGATTTCATTGTATTGCGCTTCGGGAGCAGTGGACATCTTTCTGCCCATCAGTACCTGCGATTCCTTTAGTCCCAAGTTGATGGCAAGTTTCTTTCTGTCTGTTTTGCTGATATATTTCTGCTTCTGAAACATCTTCTCCAGAGCCTTTCTCTGGTCCTCAGAAAAGACAGCTCTTCTTAAAATACCCCTCCGGGTTTTGGAATTAGAGTCCTGGGTCAGGAGAGGCAGCACACTCTCTTCTCCTAGACGAGAAAAAAAGACACAAAAGCCCAGTTAGCTTTAGTGAGAAGAAGTCGGCTGTCTTGCCCAGGATGGCACCCTCCTTCTCTATACCATGGCCAAATTCTCTCACCTCTGAACTCTGCACACTCAGAGCAGAGCTTCTTAACCTCTTTTTGGTCGTGAACTCTGCTGAGAATCTGAGAAATACTCTTTGCTCCCATTACGAGAAAATATATATGCTGCGGGGCCAGGCTGGTGGCACAGCAGTTAAGTTCACACGTTCTGCTTCGGCAGCCCGGGGTTCGCAGGTTCGGATCCCGGGTGCGGACATGACACTGCTTGGCAAGCCATGCTGTGGCAGGCGTCCCACATATAAAGTAGAGGAAGATGGGCATGGATGTTAGCTCAGGGCTAGTCTTCCTTAGCAAAAAGAGGAGGATTGGCAGCAGATGTTAGCTCAGGGCTAATCTTCCAAAAAAAAAAAAAAAAAGAATGCTTGCCTTCCCAATTTTATGTACTATGTCAGAAAGTCCACGGTCCCAGGTCACAAAGCTCCAATGCAGAACAAGTAGTAAGTGGTTTAAACACCTCATTTTTCTCTAATTCTTCCTTTATTTATTCATTCATTTATTCTCTCAACAAATTTTTGAACACTTAGCATATGCCAGGCACCCTGCTCAATGCTACACATTGAGAAATAAGACGGATGTATTTTATTGCCCTCAATACCTGAAAAATTGAGTGGAAGGTATTTATTGAACTAGTGTCACAAGTGTGATGAAGTGTTCCTAAGGAGGGTGCCTTGGGAGCACAATGCAAGGCATGTGATCTTAATCTGGGATGTCAGGGAAAGCTTGCAAGAGTCAGAGATGTTTAACCTGAGAAGGGAGGTTTGGAAGACCCCACTCACCACCCTCCAATTCAGCTGAGCATCAACTCCTTCCGGTCAGAGATATTTAATACTTTTTCTGCCTTTTTCTGGCTAGCACAACACTGGCTCCCACCCTCTGAGAGTTTCATTCATCATTCATCATTCATTCATTCACTCATTCAGCCTCCCAGTTTTGGTAGGCAGAATACTGGCCTTCCTAAAGATGGCCAGGTCCCAATTCCCAGAACCTGTGAATGCGTTACATTACATCACAAGGGGAAACTAAGGTTGCAAATGGAATTACAGTTGCTAATCAGCTGACCCTGAGATTAGGAGATGGGCCCACTGTAATCACAAGGGATCTTATAAGTGGAAGAGGAAGGCAAAAAAGGAAGTCACAGTCAAAGAGAGATTTGAGGATGCTACATTTTTTGATTTGAAGATGGAGGAAGGGGTCACGAGCCAAGAAATGCAGGCAACCACTAGAAACTGGAAAATGCAAGGAAACAGATTCTCCCTTTGAGCCTCCAAAAGGAACATAGCCTGGCTGACACCTTGATTTTAGTCCAGTGAGACCACTTCAGACTTCTGACCTCCATAACTGTAAGATTTGTACTGTTTTAAGATGTTAGGTTTGTGGAAATTCATTACAGCAGCAAGAGAACAATAATACATTGGGTATCAGGCTCACTGGGCTAACTGCTAAGGAAACGAGGCAAACAGCACATGGTCCCTGGCCTCAAGGCGCTCACCTTGTCATGGGAGGACTGGCACAAGAACATCATTCTAGAATACAGGCACCAGGGGAGCAGGGACTCCAGTTTACAGCTGTAGCTGGTATGCATTTTAGTGCTTAATAATTATTTCTAAATAAACAAGCAAATCTACAAAATGCTCTGGCATCACAAAGGAGGAAATGATGAGTTTGAGAAAATAGTCAGGTTGAGCCAAGTCTAAAAGAACAATCCAGTTCAAGAGAGAAAGAACCAAGACCAATCCAGGCAGAGTGACTAGCATGTCTAAAGCACTAAGGCACAGAGGAAGAAAGTCTATCCAAGGAAAACTAGGCAGTCTGCAAGGCTGGGGAAGGGCATGCAGCAGAGGGTGCAAGCTGGCTACCATATCCAGCCTGTAGATGGGCTTTGTTTGGTCCTAGAGTGTTGGTGAAGAATTCTGATTTAATTGTCCACATTTAATACCTGGGAGGTTCCATAGGAAGCCCAGGTCTACAACGTCTCTTCAAAGGTAACCACAACGGGCTCACCCTCCCACAAAGAGCTTCCAGAGTGAGTAGCAGGTGTCCCCTTTAGATGAAGCATGTGGCCCCCAGTTTGTCACAGCCTCACCTAGCTTACTTTTTACCTGTCGGGCTCTTGAAGACATTTGGACCTCTGGCAAAGAGATTACGGAGTGGAATGGAGCCAGATCATAGAGAACCATAAGGGGCTGGGACATTATCCAATAGGTAGTGAAGATCAATAGAAGATGTTTAAGCAGGGTGTGACATGATAATAATAAACATACACTGAGCACTTACTCTATACTGTTATACTTACTCTGTGTTAACCCTAACATGCATTATTTCATTTAATCTTCCCAACCAATCTATGCCATGAATGCTACTATTATTCTCCCCAGTTTCCAGATGAATAAAATGAAGCTTACGTAGCTTAAGTAACTTCACCCAAGGTTACCTGGCTAGGGCTTCAAACCCAGGAAGACTAATTCCAAGACAAATGCTCTTAAACCATACAAGATTGACACAATCCGACTTGTATTTTAGAAGGAAAATGTCAATAAGTGAATAAATCTTGTCAGTTCTACTTCTGTAACATGGTAGCTTCCTTTCTTATTTGTCTAAAAGACTGCAAACATCTCCCTGCTAGTCCTTCAGCTCTGAGTTACACCTCACTCCAGTTCATGCTCACATTGCAAGAGGAACCACTGGCCTCTCCCTCTTTCCTTCCAGCTCTGTAACATTCGCATCTCCCTAGAAATGCCATAGCCCCCAGGGTGTCATTAAGCCCAACTCTTTACAAAGGTCTACTTTTATTGATGCCCTTTCCATTCATCCTCTCATAGGATCTTGGTTAATTCTCCATTCACAGCACCATTTTTTTTTGCCTGTTTCATGCCAAGGTCATATCTTGAAGTCAGGTTTTGACAACAGGATTCACGATTTCTTTATCAAAGATTTAAATAGTTTTATGTAATATTGGTCAATAATAAAATATCCTAAATATCCCGATATGTTCATCTCTTTCTAAACGCTTTTCTTCTATGAACTTTCCTCGGTATAGAGACCATGGAATTGGCCCTTCTGCATTATTTCAGAGCACAAATTCACCTGTTGGGACGATGTCTCTCTAGGAAGCCTGAGGACAAAGGACTTTGAGTGTGGCAGAACTGATTTTAGAACTCAGCACTTACCTGTGTGACTTGGAGCAAGTTACTTAGTCTCTTTCAGCTTATCTTACAGGGTTGCTCTAAGGATATGACGAAATAGCACACAAAAATTTCAGTGGCTAGCCTAGAGTAAGGATCCCACAAATCTATTTTACTTCCCGTTGCTGGATTTCATTTGATTCTTATAAGAACCATATGCCACAGGCATCCTCCATACAGATGAAGCAGTGTTCAGAGCAGTTAAGGTCCAAAGCTACAGAAAGGACGCAGAGCTCAGCTGGTAGCAAGGCCTTCCGAATCCAAACTCTTGGCTCCTTCCTCTGCCCCACACTGCCTCTTTACTCAGGCATGATGGGTCAAAAACGGGAAGGAAGAAACACTTATAAACACAGCCAGAGCTCCTGTCTGTGACTACAGGCTTCTGCACCCTGTCTTGGACCAGTGTGTGAGCCTAGGCTACATGGCATCTCCTACACAGCCTGGTAACTGTGTCCTCAAATCCCAGCATGCCCTTCTCACTTGATATTTTGATTCTGGCACTCTTAATTTGTAAATGTATCCAGCCTGCCATTATTACAGCCAAATGTATTAAAAGTGAGGGAAGAAACTTAACCAAAGGTAAAAAATGCATAAGTACATTATGCTATATCCACTTGGTGAAATTCTAAAGAACCATTAAAGATGAGGGCTATGAAGCCCAGGCAACAGCGGAGATACATATAATACACATAAGATACATACTATGCTTACAACTAAGTAAAAACACAGAGGAGAAAAAGATTGAAAAGGAAAAAGTAAACACTAAGACAGGCTATTGTTCTAGTTATGGACAAATAATTCACCTCCACTCTACATTTTAAGTCTAGCTCTATTTTCAAAGGAGAACAAGCAAACTCTGCAGCAACCTTTTTGGGAATAATCTGGCAGAGCGACTGAAGATGAGTCCAATCCATCCTTCACATGCTCACAGTTGATAAGGAGAGGTCTGAGAAGAATACAGACAGCCGCAGTACAGTGAAATAAATACCCGCAGGGCAAGCACAGAAAGCATTTAAGCTCCAGAGAGGAAGCCACTTAGACTTGGAGGCCAACAGACTAACTCCTGAGAGAGAAGAGCAGCTAGAATAGCAATTCCTCTTGCAAGCAGAGAAGAGGGAGTAACATTTGCAGATGGGTGAGTGGGGTGAGGACAAATGTGAAGCATGGTGGATCTAGGAATCTCACACAGCTTGGTGTTTCCAGACTGCAGAGTATGAATGGGAAGAACACAGGAGATAAGCTGGGAAGGTAGATTAGGGCCAGGGGTGACTGAAACGAATTAAGGTTATAACTTGCCATAAAAGAAAGACTTTCAAGGAGGACCTAACCAACTTAGCATTTTAGAAAGGCCAATGTTTTCTGAGTTAATAAAACTTTTTATATCTATATAGACATACAAAACAAATTTATGGACCAAAAGCCCAGCTTAAAAAAATCTACATATATTTTTCTCTAAGTACAGGTTTTACAAGTACGGGTCATGATTCCACTTGTTTTAGCCCCTTGTTCACCAAGATCTACTTGTTTAAATAAAACAATGGGTAACACATCTAAATTGCCCCTAACACTTTTTATGAAAACCCATAGGTTTTCCTGATGAGCTATTTTTAAGTAAAGAGAAAGAAGATTGCCATCAAGGGAATCTACAAATAAATTATTCTCACCAATGTGGTACATACTAACACTTTGGGGGGCAGGGACCCA